TGTTATCTTGTCTGTGTAGTTATCTATGAAAGTTCTGCCATTGTATTAATATTTATTTGGCATCTATTTAGTGAAAGGCAGTGGCTTCAATGTACATCCTACTGTTTTCAACTGAGGAGATTGTCAAATGGAGCCAAAACACTCCTTCGGGCACCAAAATTTTGGGTTTATAATGCTAACATTTTATATCTTTCTTGAAAAAAATGGTAGTAGTACATCTGAAAATGCTATCAATTTCTCTGTTCATAAACCAAAGGCAGACACATTCAGCATTTCATAATCGAATGTGGCATTCATTGTGGTTTACATTATATTTCTATATTCCTGAACCTTCTTCAAAAGAAAATTATCCATGGAAAAAATGTTATGTGATACTTTGGTGTGGATGAGGGTTAATCTTGCGAATGGAACAAAACAATAATGGATTATGTTCTGATTCATGAATACCTGTGGATTCTTATAGCCCTTTGTTTGTGGTAGCAAAAGTTAAAGATTTAAATTAGGTGAAGTATAAAGTGAAGTTTAGTATTACCCCAAAGTTCAAAGTACAATGATAAATGAAAGTCGAATGCAACATAGATACTGTGTTCTGGCCATACTGTCTTTCATCAAAACAACCTTTGATTGATAAGTTTGATGACATTCTTTATTCAATTTTTCCTAAAGATATGTCTGTCCAAACCTATGGTAATTCCACTTGTGTTTCTGAATCTTTTGAAACACAGACAGCTGTTTTGTTATCGTTATTAATTTGAATCAATGCTCATTTATTATACATTAAATCTGATACTGGTCTAAGACCCTTCTAATTAATAAAAACAAGCCCTAGTGCCCCTAATTCAGTCCTAAAATTAGAACACAGTGAAAGAGCTTGTGTTGGCGCTTGGTAATTTAAATAGTTATTCTTTTGGGATGGATTTGTAGCAGTGATATCTTTACAACATTCAGGACATACGTGGCATAAGCGTGAAAGTTTGTGCTCCCAAAGAAAAAAGGAGTTGATATAAAGGAGCTAATATTCTAAAAGAGTTAAAATTTTATTTAGTTGTAAAATTGAGTAAATTTCACAAATGCATACATACTTGTCTCTGTATAGTTCTAGAAATACTTCCTAGGTATCTTACAATATTAAACTATTACTGATGAGAAGAAAAACTACATATATAAATGCCATTACCTAAATCATACATCTCTCTCCTCCCCGCCGGACGTAAGGCCTACACCCCTTTAAATATAAGTACGGTCATAATTTCCCAGTGGTTTTTCCCCCAGAAACTGTTTTCTTGAATTCAAATTCAGGGGTTTTCAATGTCAATACAGTATTTTCGGTGATCTGTGTACATATAT